TATATGTTGATGATATTGTGGTGACAGGAAATGACAGCCATGAGATTGAGTCCCTCAAACGGCTCCTTCATCAAGAGTTTGAGGTGAAAGATCTGGGTGCACTACGGTATTTTTTGGGTATTGAGGTTGCTAGATCTAAACAAGGGATTTTTGTCTTTCAGAGGAAATATGTTCTAGATCTGTTGGCAGAAACTGAAAAGCTAGGTGTCAAACCTGCGGATACACCCACTGAACAGAACCACAGGATTAGTGCAGAGAGTGGGGAGCCTCTTGAAGACAAAGTTATGTTTCAGCAATTAGTGGGAAAGCTCCTATATCTATGCCTCACTCAGCCAAATATCAGCTATGCAGTTAGTGTTGTCAGTCAGTACATGCATTCTCCTAGAACCAYGCACCTTCTAGCAGCARAAAGAATATTAGCATACTTGAAGAGATGCCCGGGTAGAGGTATACTRTTCAAGAACAATGAYCACATGAAGGTGGAGGTCTATACGGATGTCGATTGGGCTGGGAGTGTTGATGACAGAAGGTCTACCTCTGGATATTGTGCTCTTGTGGGAGGTAACTTGGTCTCTTGGAGGAATAAGAAACAGAGTGTTGTCTCCCGATCTAGTGTTGAAGCTGAATACAGGTCAATGGCTAATGGAGTGGCTGAAATTCTTTGGCTGATATCACTACTTCAGGAGTTGGGTATTGAGTATGAGAAGCCCCTGATGTTGTATTGTGATAATCAAGCGGTTATTAATATTAGCACACAACCTAGTATAACATGACAGAATTAAACATTGAAGTTGATCGACATTTTGTACGAGAGAGGGTCTCATCACAAGAAGTGTGTCTCCCGTACATCACCTCCAACATGCAGCTAGCAAATATTCTCACCAAAGCTGTACCACGGAAGAAGCTAGAGGCRRATCTATCCAAGTTGGGAATGATAAACATTTATTCCCAACTTGAGGGGGAGTGTAGAGAACACTGATGTGGGCCCCACAGCTACGGTCCCACTGTGTTCGTAGGGTAGAAGGTGTTCTAGTCTTCCTAGGGTCAGTTGTTGGTCATTTAGTTGTTTCAGTTGTTATTTGTTTCAGTCTTATTTTGCTCTATTTGTTATGTAAAGACTAAAGGCAAATCTGTCCTTTCCATGTAATGAGCATAACCTATAAATATTAAATAAAGTGGCGGTGGCAGAACATTAAGCTTTTGTTCCTCCTTTCAACTCTTGTGTTCTACTTCTCTTCCTCCCTTTTTCTCCTCTCTTCTCTATACCTTTTTTCCTTATTTCCGAACCTAAAATCCATTAGAGTTCAAGACTGATAACAGTCCTGAACGTCTACTAAAACCAAAAGAGAAATAAGAGAACAACAGAAGAGAGGAAGAGAAGGGAAGAGAATAGAAGAAGAATGAGAAGAGAAAGGGAGCAAACCTTAATCAATTTCTGCCACCCAGATTTGATATTTATATGTTTCTATTATAACAAGATCTACAATGACATCAATGCCCCTGCCTCCCAACATACTCCTTAATAAACAATAACAACAATAGTAACAACAACTATAGTAGGCCTAGTAAGGCCTAAAAAGACTAATAACAAGGCCCAAAATACTAATAACAGGTAAATTAAAAAAAGGCAAATAATATGGCAGGGACTTCACTAAATTACTAGCCTGTTTCTCCACACTCCCCCTCAAGTTGGGAATAGATATTAGTCATTCCCAACTTGCATTAATCTGTCTCTAACTTGACCCTTGTAACTGCTTTAGTGAAGAGATCGGCAAGCTGCATATCGGAGGCAACATAAGGAAGGCACACTTCTTTGGAGGCAACTCTTTCTCTGATAAGGTGTCGATCCACCTCAATATGTTTGGCTCTATCATGTTGTATTGGATTATGATCTATATTAATAGCGGCCTGATTATCACAATACAACATTAGGGGCTTTTCATATTCAACCTCCAACTCCTCAAGTAGTGATTTTAACCATAACACTTCACCCACCCCATTAGCCATAAATCTGTATTCTGCTTTAGCATTGGATCGAGCAACAACAATTTGTTTCTTACTCTTCCAAGAAACAAGGTTGCCCCCAACAAGGGCATAGTACCCTTAGGTAGATCTCCTATCATCCACACATCCAACCCAGTCTGCATCAGTATACACTTCTATCTTCATATGACCATTATTCTTGATGAGTATACCTCTGCTTAGACACCTTTTTAAGTAGGGATGTTCTGGGAGACTGCATATATTGACTGACAACACTAACAGCATAAGAAATATCTGGGCATGTTAGACAAAGGTAGAGAAGCTTTCCAACCAGTCGTTGATACATGGCTTTATCTTCAAGTAGTTCACCCCCCTCTGCATTTATCTTATGGTTTGGCTCAATTGGTGTTTCTGTTGGCTTAATTCCCAATTTTCTAGTTTCTTCTAAGAGATCAAGGGCATATTTCCTTTGGGATATGAAGATACCATGTTTGGATCTAGCCACTTCAATTCCTTAGTAAGTAGCTTCTTGAGAAAATTAATCTCAATACTATCACTGTTTGTCACCACAATATCATCAACATATACAGCCAGGAGAGTTAAAGCTGAACCTACTTTCTTGAAAAAGAGAGAGTGATCAGATTGAGCCTGTGCATAGCCAAATTTTTCCAAGGCATGTCTAACCTATCAAACCACGCCCTTGGAAACTATTTCAAGCCATACAAGGCCTTCTTCAATCGGAAGACTTTTCCACTATCTTCATTATAGAAGCCTGGGGGCAACTTCATATACACTTCTTCCTGTAAATCACCATTCAGGAAAGCATTTTTAACATCCATTTGGAACAACGACCATGAGAAGTTTGCAGCAAGAGACAACAACACTCTGATTGTGTTAATTTTGGCAACTAGTGCAAAGGTTTCTACATAATCAATACCATAGCAACCAGTCGAGCTTTGTATCTTTCAAGTAACCCATCTACATTGTACTTCACTGTAAATATCCACCTACACCCAACCGGTTTCTTCCCTCTTGGTTGATTGACTAGCTCCCAAGTATAATTTTTGATAAGTGCATCCATCTCAACCTTCATTGCTTCCTTCCACTCAGGTACTACCAAGGCATCCCGCATAGTCCTAGGGATAGGTACAAAAGCAATGGACACCAAAAAGGACTTATATGATGGTGAAAGATGGTCATAAGAAAGAAACTAAGAGATGCAATTGGCAGTAAATGAGGCCCGGACTATAGTAGGCCTACTAATAACAAGGTCAAGAACAAATTCAGATGAATCACAAGGGACATGGAAGTAAGGATGCAATGGGTCAAAAAGAGTGCAAATGCCATGGCAGATGTTCTAGCCAAAGAAGGGGTGGGAGGAATCAGATATTTTGGGCACAATTGTACAGTTTTGTTAGTTTATTGGGAAGAGATAAGAGGGTTTATCTTTCGTTTGACTCTCCTTTGATGTATTCTCTTTCAACCTTAATATTAGTGAAATTTGTGGCTATTAATAAAAAAAGAAAAAACAGTCTACTTATTGAATGGTCAAGATTGAAGAGTGTGTACATGACTAGTTTAACACATGGAAATAGTCTAGCACATAGGCCATACGGTCTCAGCTGAAGCTACACAGTATGTGAGGAACTATAAAGAAATGATGCAAAAAAAAAGAAAAAAAAAGAAGAAAAGATTATCAAAATAAAAATAGCTCGCAAACCTACACATATACATACATATACATAAATATGTGGTTCCTTTTTCTTTGGCACTTGATATCTGAGGCCTTATTGCATATCTAGGGGTTCCCAGACCTTTTTGACTCCATAGCACATAAAAACTTTTCCTTGGCTATCAAAAAGACGGGTGAAATTTTCCTTTTGTCACCACTCACTAGTAATATGTTGTATGTGATTTTCCGTCAATGGTTGTTTTGTTGCTGCTTTATCATGCTATATTTTTTCATAATTGACTTGAAATTTTCTTATCTCATTTCAATATAATGGAAATCACTTGGTGGAAAAGAAAATCAAGTTGCTGTCATAAGCCTAAAAGTTTCTTTTTGTGTCTTTGTGCAGAAACTGATGCTCCATGTGCTGCTTGTGGGATCTGGAGTAGGAGAACATGGCGATTGGGTTCTCATGCAGTTTGTTTCTGTCACAGCTGCATGGAATTTCTTATGAGTTATCATTTTGCCTGGTTTTAGGGCAGTTATTAATGTAGTATGTAAAATAGATGGATTTGAATCTTTGCTGCGTGTATGTGCATTGCCAGGATGTATTTTGATTTGTTCCATCCATGACGCACCCTGCATCAAGGTTGTTTTAAGTGCTAATTCAGTTTGGTTCGCTTTCAAGAAGGAAGAGGAAAATCTCTTGAATTTCAAGTTTAGGGTTGTCAATTGGTCAAGTAGATCCAACGGACTAACATTTTTTTTTTCTGTTGATAATTACAGCAGACTAATTGATCCAACCCTATATAACACAGGTTCTGGGTCTGCATTTCGAGTCTCAATTTTAGTATGGAATGTAACTGATTTTACCTGTTCTTATCTGGTATCAATCATGTACATGCTACATACGTACTTGTACAGTTGTACACATCTATTTGTGTTTCTCATGGTGTACCTATGACAATTTCATCAAAATTTGTAATTTTATTGGGGATATATTAGAAGAAAAAGAGAATCAACAGTTAAAGGCTTGCCACTTTGCCTAAAAGAAATGAATTCTATAGTGTAAGATATTTATGCCAGAATCTCTCTCTCTCTCTCTCTAAGCTGGAGTTATTGCAAATAGCCAAATAGAAATGAACAAGGGTAGTGAGTACTACCACGTTTCTTTCTTAATTTCTATCTTTGTTTATTCTATTGGTGGGTGTTGAAGACCTGTTGTTGTTTGGCGTTTAAAATTTGTAAAATATACTTTATTTTGGAAGAAAATGAAGGACAAAAGAGTTACAAGGTATATTCAAGTCTTTTGTATATATTTAAGTGAATTTATAAAAACCCAGGGTACGTTCAAGTCCTTTTCATCTCACAAATTTGCATTTACCAACCTCAAATGCTGCATATGCAAAAATCAACCTAAATGCATAAATCAGTTCTCTCAGATGTGATCATGTTCAAAGTATCATTACTTCAGATATGCAAAAATCTTGTATCCAGAGTTTTTAACATGAGCACGGAAGTACTAATTTTATATTTTTGTTTCATAAATTGGCAATAGATGTTATTGTTACTTTAAACCCATTTAAAAGTTGTAACTCTCATTGCTTAGCATTTGCTCTTTGTTTTTTGCTCCATGGGGTTACACAACAAAGAGTAGCCCATCCCTTAACAGTCTTGTAGGCAGGATTTGATCCCAATCTCTGCTAAAAAAACTGAATCAACCACTGTATATCATTCAAATTGGAAAACCTGCATTTCCACATGTTTGGCCCTTGACCCCATCAACAACCGCAACATGAAGAGTATGGGTGCTATTCAAATTGGAAAACCTGAATCAACCCCATTTCCACATGTTGTTTCTCCAATTCAAGAATGTTTTATTAGTATTCATGCAGCGGTTTTTCAAAGGTGTTGGGATATAGAAGGAAGTGATATTGTGAAGTTGGTCCAGTATTGTTTCTCCAATTCAGAGGTGATTTCTTATATAAATTGAACACTCATATGCCTGATTCCTAAATCTGACCATGTAGAGTTTCCCTCAGATTTTCGCCCCAGTGGGCTAAGTAATTTGTCGTACAAACTTATTGCCAAAATCACGGTAAATAGACTGAAACCTCTTTTACAGAAAAATATTGGCCCATACCAAAATGCAAAGGCAAATTACTGATAATATTGTAATTACAAAAGAAGCGGTTCATACAATGAGGAAGCAAAGAGGTAAGACTTCTTACTTTATTAACCTTTCCAAGGCCTATGATCGTGTTCGAGTGGTCGTTTTTATTGAAAATACTCTCTTCTTTAGGATTTCCTAATAAGTTTTGCGACATTATATTCCAATGCATTTCATTAACGGAATTGGCGGTTTTGGTAAATGGTGTTGCTGGCACTTATTTTCAACAATCTAGAGGGATTCGTCAAGGATGTTCATTATCTCCGCACCTCTATATTTTATGCACTGAAGTCCTATCTCATATGCTTACCGTGAAGATGCAAGAAGGAGATTTATGAGGAATTAATTCATTTTGGGAGAACAAAGCCACAAGGGTACGATTAAATCATTTATTTTTTGCGGATGATATGCTACTGTTCAAGGAAATTGATTGTCTCAAACAGCAATTAGACATTTTCATAAATCAGCAATCTACTTCATCAGTTCTAATAATGAACGTCGAATTAGAAGTCTTATTTAAAACGCTTTGAATATAGGACAAACATAAATAATAATAATGATGATGATGATGATGTACCTAGGGTGCCCCTTCTAAAAAAAGGGAAGAATATTGGTGGATATGGTGTTATGTTTTAGAACGGATGAAAGGTAGATTGGCAGGATGGAAGATCCCTTTATTATCTCAGGTGGGAATGACTGTTTTAATCAAATCCACTTTAGAGGCTATCCCATTATACCAGATGCAATCTCAGCCCATACCTAAAGAAATTTGTGTAGAAATGGACTCTTCGTCAAGCTAATGGAATTCCGCCTACATGTTTTTTTCAAAGAAGAAAAAAAAAAAACAAGAGCTGAGAGGACGAAAGCAGCAGCCAACATCCTAAGAAGTAGTAAACCACATATCGTATTGATACATATTTGGGTATTGATACATATTTGGATGCACCAATACAAATACGATACACCCAATACTAGATGTGAAGGAATATATATCGTATTGATATTCTGCTCCTTTCCCATAACTATTAGATGTGAAGGGGCTAATCCATGGTTTACCCTAACTCCAATCATCTTTGTTTATGCATAGACTGATATAGATCTAGCCCAATCATGGCCTGGTTGCAACCACACCTTGGGCTATCAATGGATTGAGTCTGGGCTGGGATCAACTAGAACGGGAACCGACCTGACATTAAATATTGAAGACCCGAAATCGAATCAGACCCAATAGGGTCTGTAATTTTATACAATCGAATTGATTGGTTCTTATGACAATCAGGTCTAACCCGATTTCAAACTGATTCAGTCTAAATCGATTCAGGACTGGATGGAACTGATTCCAAACTGATAATTATCGGGACACTATATCAAAACTCAAAACCAACTCATCGGTTCCAATTTTTAGACCAGAACCGGCCCAATCAATTCGGGTCTATCAAGTCCATCGGATTGGACCCGACCCATTGACAGTCGTACCCACACCACTACCCCTTGATGAATAAAGCAAAATTTAATTGTCACAACTTCATCTGTAATGCGTCGTTCCCAAAAGACAAGGTCCAGACTCCAGACCCGAGGCCAATTTAGCAACTGCAGATCCATTTCTCTAGATATATGTTAAACCTGGTTTTGAATTTTGAGAATTTGGAAATCCTGCATATTTCCAAAAGTCTTTGAAATTTAAATATCAGATGTAAGCCAATGACCAGGCTATGTGAAGGGAATTTTTTTTTAAGTATGTGTGCAGACTACAAAAGAGGGTCGGGTCTGGATCTTGTCTTTGGATTATAGGAATTACTTTTAAACCTGTTTTTCGGTGCTATCATGGAATTAGCTTTTATAAATTTTATGATTTTAAGAAACACTTCTAAATATGAACTTATGAAACTTATTGGAATTATTTCTTTTTCTTTTCATGTTTAAGACTCATCCTTAGAATTTAAAAAAAAAATCAAGAAATTAAAATGATCCTTTTGCTCAGAATTCATCCTTGAAATAATGATTCTTTATAGTAAAATTGAAACCAAACATAACTTTAATGTCAGGCAAACCAGTTGATTTGGTCATTTCCATACTTTCTTATTATTAAGGTTGTGTCCTCTCTCTCTCTCTCTTGCACGTATTTGTTGTTAATCCTTAAAAATATTAAAAATTAGATGGATGAAAGAAAGGGAAAAACATGAACGATACGAAATGCACATCGGCTTGTATATGTGCTCTTCGCGAATTTTGTTCTTCAGTTGTTTGTGTATTTTTTTTTAAACAGTTGCCATGGTCGCGGGGATAGCTCAGTTGGGAGAGCGTTAGACTAAAGATCTGAAGGTCGCGTGTTTGATCCACGCTCACCGCAATGTTTAAATATCGTCTCAAGCGTTGAAGTTTTTAATCCACCACTAGTATTACAAATGTGGTAACCAATTTGGTGTTATTTATCATGGATTTTGATTGGTCAAAACTCTTCCGATACCATATCTTACTTGCATCATAGATTTTTCATTAAATTTTATATACTACTTTTTATAATTTTTTTACAATAATTAATTTTAACTAAGGTTGTTCATCAAACTAATGAAACCAACCAACTCAACCAACTAAAAAACCAAGTTGGTTGGTTTTCTAGTATTTCCAGTCAACTTTGGTTCAACAATTTCCCAACCTGACCAAGTTGGACCAATTTCGCTTTAGCCACTTGTAAATCGACCAAAATCGAACAATCCGACCATAGATTTATATTAATATTTTATATTTTTAATATTACTTTTTAATAATACCGTTGTAATTTTTAAAATTTAAATTTAATTTTTTAAGTTTAAATTTGTTGAACCAACTGACAAAACTAAAAATTGACCAAAACTGATACAACACTAGTTAGTCGATTTCAGGTGACCAACCCCCCAACCTAACCAAGTCGATTTGATTGGCCAAACAACCTACAGCCAAATCCGAACTAACCCGTAAACACTTCTAATTTTAGCTAAATTAATAATCTAATCTCTAATAAATAACAGTAGTTTAATCCCCAACGATTATTGAAATTTTATAGCAAAAATACACAATTATTTAAAATATAATAAATAGTGTAATCTCTAATAAATATTAATTAATAAATTATAACAAAAATACAAGATATACAATAAATTACTTAAAAGTTCAAATAATAGTAGTTTAATCTCCAATAATTATTGAAATTTTTATATTAAATAACAAAAACAAAAATAGATTTGTACATAATTATTGAAAATATATTTATCACAAAAAAATAAATAATTATTCAAAATACAATAAATATTAATTTAGTATATATAAATATATAATAAATATAGATTAAGATTTTAAAATTTTTATTAATAATTAATAAATATTAACTTTTTTAAAAGTTATTTTCTAGAATTGTTAATTGATATAAATAAAATTAGTTATTTACAATATTATTTAGTTATTTCAATAATATTATTATTTAAAATTTTTAATATTAATTATTTATTGAATTTAATAATCCATAAAATTATAATTTATACTATTATTAGATAATTTCATTACTAGTTTTTAAAATATTAAATTTTATTAATTTGAATATTATGTTATAATTATTTGTCTAGTTTTAATAAAATTTTCAAATTTATTACATAATTAATTTCATTATTTTAACTATTTAAAATCTAGTTCCGTTAAATTTTTCATTAGTTAAAATATTTAGTTATTTAAAGATTTAAATAATATATAAAATATTTAAAATTTTTCATTGTTTGAATTTTATTTATTTTAAAGTTATTACATAATATTAACTATTTTTTTATATAATTGTTTAGCTATTTTTAAT